CCTACGGTTTACCGGGCAGTTCTATTTGACGATATATATATATATATATATATATATATATATATATATATATATATATATATATATATATATATGATGGTCTTCTCGTCAGCCGAAAAGCCAACGGACGAGCACATAACCCCGTCGCTGGACACCGACTATCACACGTCTACTCATATATATATATATATATACATCACTGTGATGACGGGTCCGTTTCCCGCCCGCCCCCCACTGCACCCCCTCTGTCCGGGCCCCGGCGTGCGAGAAACCCCACCAGCAACTCGAGGACACTCTTACCACCTCGCATCGCTTCGGCCACGTCTCCTATCCGACTGGCAATTGCAGAGCCGGCGTCTGCGGTGGCTTTCGCCAGGCTACTGGCCGCTTTGTCGAGGCCATCGCAGTAAGACCGAGTGAAATCCTCCATTGCCCTGCTCAACGGCGTGGCAACGGTACTCGCCTCCTCCCTCCTCGCCTTTCCCTTGTCCGTTCGCCGGATCTTTGCAGCACTATCCGATTCGTCAGCACACCTCTCCTCCGATCCACCACTCGTCCATGCGCTTCCACTCCCCCCCATTAGGTTCTCCGAAGCCATTGTTTTGTCGCACTTCATCAACGACCGATCTAGCTGCCAATGCATAGCGTCCCACAATGCCTTCTCAAAGGATAGTGGGAGATTCTTCTCCTTTCGCTCCTCCAACGACAGATCCCAATACGATGGCTGGCCAGATGCTTCACATTTCTTGACGATAAGCTTCGCAGTCTACAGCATGTTCGACCATTTCTTCCTGCAGTCCTCTGCGCTCCTGTGTTTGAACCCGACCTCCTTCATCCTCTCGTTCACCCAAACAATCCGCTCCTTCCTCTGCTTGAAACGGTGTTGCCCGAGGGCATCTGCCATCAGGGCATCATCCTCACCCATCAACATCGTCAGCTTTATCCGCTCATCCAACGTCCACGGGACGTTTTGTTTCTTCGGAGCTTGCGGACGAGCGTTCGCAGGCCGTCTGTTACCCGCCTCGCCCGCTCCACCACTGTTGAGCACATCGCTTTGATCAGCCATGGGATCGACATTTCCTTGCTCCGCAACGCCGTCATCGTCACCTGCTTCAGAACCGCCGGCACCGTCATTGTAAGGCGGGTCCATGCGCGTGTCAGGGGACACTGGCCTTGGGTCCGGCTGAGTCCAGGTACTCTCTCCATCATCACCGAGTGCTGGAGACGGGGAAACCCTCGCCACGAACAATCGGCCCGGGCTCTGCCCACATTGTGGAGACCATGGCCTGTCGCCCATGCCCATGGACTGTGTGGACAGTGGCGCCATGTCGAAACCTACTGTCGGGCGCATCGGTCCGGCACCGCACGGGGGCAGCGCGGGACCCTCCCGGCCGCGTCACGCAGGAGTTGGTTTTTAAACCCTTCGTCGCAATATACATGGAGCTTCCACAAGCCGCTCCGGCCGAGTGCGCCAGCCATACCTCTCGCGAACCCCTACGACAGGATAGGGCCTAGGCGAGGCACGACTTACCTACACCTTACGAGAGCTGTCMCCTCCCTTCGGTGGGCGTATCCCCGCCGAGCTACCGATCCACAGTACGAAAGCTAATAAGTTGCAATCGCAGAGGTGGACCAGCCGAGGGCGTTTCTCGTTCGCTGTAGCATAGGGGGTACGGGCGGTAATACGCCTTTATCGGACCCGCACGCGAACCGATATCTTGGGGGGGCTGAGGTCCCAAGCGCGACTCATCGTCGGTCGACTAGGACGCATCCCACACACCACGCGCACTCCACTTTACGAACACACTTACACACAAAACAACATATATACGAAACGACACAAATACCAACAACGCGACAACGCTCCTAGCCCCTCGGTAGTCAACCCATAACTTTCCAATGCAGAAATCGGATAGGCGTCGCGCGCTGAACTTAGTATAAAACCACGCGGACGCAGGGCTTACTCATATCGACTTGCAATGCAGGCGTACACAAGCAGTTGCAACGATGGCGTACTATGTACTGCCCATAATCAAACGGTCCCTCGTGGATCCGAGTACCGCTCATGACACTCAAGTGTCAGACTTGAAGTGTCGTGAGGGCCTAACCCTTCACGATATTGCACGGCTGAAGGAATAGTCGTGCAGCCGCCGCTGCACCTTAGACTCTGGACTTGAGTGTCTCGGAAGGCAAATCAAATAGGCTCTGTGCGAGGGAAAACCCCTCCCCTGCAGAGCCTAGGGCTTGGGGTGTCCTGGACAAGGACCTCGAATCCCGGCCTAGGACCAAATGTCCGACTAAGAAAATCATCAAAAAGCAAGAGACAAAAATAAAAGGAGAGACCTCCCCTAAGCCCCTCAGTCTCAGCTTCTGAGTAGGGCTCTAACGTGGGGGCTTTTCAACCCATGCAAACATTCATCCTAAGTATACCCATGTATACATATATAAGGGTTAAGTATGTGACGATCACTTCTCATGGTTTCACTGAGGTCTCTCATAATAATACGTATATGTGTGATCGTAGGCAACCAAATCCGGAATCTGATTCACAGCACATACCTGCCATCACATCAACGAACCAAATCAACAGCCCACGCACTACACGAAGTCAACCCCAACCACCTTCGACACTCATACCCCTCGCTTTAGCCATGCAAGCCCCAAACCTCCTGTCCAACCAACCTTAATTAAATACTCAGCACCTTTGTTAAATGGTCATTCAATAAAATTCCGGGTGAAACCTTAATAAAACAACGAAATCACCAGGGCTAAAGCCTTTTAGGTTGAGTGTAGAGGGAGAGTTGAAATTGAGTCGTAGACTGACGAATTGGCAACCGACCTGTTATCAGTGATAACAGAAAGTGATCCTCAAAAGGATCAAGCTGGATCTAGCCCTGAACTTGAAAAAAAAAACTTGTAACACACGGCAGACCAATCTTCAAGCTAAGATAATACATCCTCACTCAAAATCTCCCTATAAGCTAAACTTAAGTCAAGTTTTAAACCGAATGCTTAAGCTAAAGGTAGATCAACTACAGAATCTCCCCTATTCTGGGTGAATTTGCCTGAATTGCCACCTGTCAAAATGTAGTCTATCTCCTTTAAATTAAAAAAATTTTGGCAGCGCTTTCCGTATAAAAAGTGTCTTTCCAGAATTTATATAAGTCTAAATATAAATAATTTCTAACTCTGGAAAGCCAAATTTTGTCTAACTCCCTGAATTAGTAGAAATTTGGGCAGCATTTCCTTTACAAAGGGGACTTCCCAGATTTTTACTAAGTCAGGTTTGAACTCACAAGATAAACTTGAGTCCAATTTAGATAGGATTTAACTAACTCCTCGGTCTTGCTGAAATTTCGGCAGCACTCCCTCTAGAAAAGGTGCTATTCCAAAATTTATACAAGACTAAGTTCAGATTTTGAAAGTAATTTTGACTTCCTAAAGTTCAATTTTTGTCTAACTCCCTGAATTAGCAAAATTTTGGGCAGCACTCCTTTTAGAACGGGAGACTTCCCAGATTTTAACTAAGCCAGATATATGGAAAAGACAGGTTGAACTCTGAGAAGTCAAGTTGACTAACTTCTTGGATTTGTAGAAATTTCGGCAGCGCTTCTCGCAGGAAAAGTAGCTTGCCAAGATTTATACAAAGCCAAGTATAAGAAAAAGATATCAGAAAATGCAGAAAATGACCTAAGTAAAAAAAGAAGTTATTACAGAAAAAGCAGGAATTGACACTAACTCCCATGGCTCTAGCACGTGGCGAGCAACTAAAGCAACTACCTATAGTAATGAAACTTAAACAAACTAGTCATCCCATCCAGTCACATGCAAACCAAACCACAAATATAAGTATTCTCACCRCCCCAAGTTTATTCCATATAGATAGTTCATGAATCTTCAAGTTCTTGAATCCTTATACCCATCTTACATAATACATAGAGTTGGACCATTCGCCATGGAAACAATGCCCAGCTTGTCTTCATGATATACACGAACATGTTGCATAACTACTTCTTTCTTCTTTTGGGCAGATGACTAGGCCATTCGCCATGGAAACAATGCCTAACCGCCCTGAGCTGTTTAATATCCAAGAATTTCGTATTTCTCTGACTTTGTTTTCAAAAGAAAAGCAAATATGGGCAGGGGACTGAACCATTCATAGTACAAACAATGTTCAACTTGCCCAAACTATTTCCATTTATACTTTTTATTTTTATTTTTCTCTTCTTAATGATATGACTTAACGTTGGACCATTCACAGTAGAAACAATGCCCAGCTGTCAGTTCACATGCAAATATATATAAAGTACTTTCTTTTATACTTAGTTTAAATTATGTGCGTGGTTTTCAGGCTAAACCATTCATCATGGAAACAATGCTTAGCCTTAGACAAAAAATCCTCCCTCAGAATAAACAAGAATTTAAACCCCCTTCAATCAGACAATCCTTCAGAGTTAACTAAGGTAGCCAGACCATTCACAGTAGAAACAATGTCTGGCTCCCCAGAAAACAATCAAATAAACACAGCGACCAGACAATTCACAGTAGAAAAATGCCTGGTCCTTCAGAAAACAGTCAAATAAACATAGCCCTGAGCCATTCACAGTAGAAACAATGTTCAGGCTTTGGTTGACCCGGTCAAACGCATGCAGTCCACCTTCCTCCCACCTTCCCCCAATTCATCCTTAGTCTGCTTTCAATAAGAACAAAGTAGAAACTTAGGCTTCACTCTCACACATTCTTTCCAGTTAGTTTGAGTGGTCCTGAAGAGAAAACAAAAATCATAGGGACAACACATGCATATGACAATCATACTACAGGGAAATAGACAAACATGGGTAGTAGTGGGTTATACAGATAAAGATGATTTACCTGAAGGTTCCCTGCTAGGTTCCGGCAGGGCTCCCGCAATCGGTGGGTGAACTCAACGCAGAGTCTTGATGTGGACCTACGGGTTGCAATCCCGCCTGCCGCCTTCCTCTCGTAACCAGCAGACTAGACTTAGATTTAGAAAGATAGAAAGAGGAAAGTGTGAGACTCTCAGATCCAAGAAGGGTGCCCTGAGACTCGCAAGAGAGGGTCTTCATGCCTTGATGCGCCTGAGGGCCCCGCAATGGTAGTCAATGTCACAGCTTGGTCAGCCCCTGAAGTCAAACTGTCACGGTCAACCCTCTGCCGGCCTCCTAAACCGCAGCACCAACCTCTCTATTTGTCCAGCCTGACCACCTCTCCGAGCCTTGCCCGATCGTGGTCACTCAGCGGGGTGCAACGGCCTCCGGATGCAGTCGCAGTATTTTAGCAGCGTTCAAATAGCAACAGCGACAGCCGCTAGCCGCTGCAACCCACACACAGTCCACAAAAATGCCTCCCACTCGACAACAATAGTAACAACCGCCTGGAACAACGGTCCGCAGCAGCAGTCGGGGCCCAAACCGCAGGCAGCGTACCGACCAGTAGGCAGACCCTCACAGTGGGCCGATCAGTGTCCTAGCCAACTGTTAAGCCTACAATCTTACGATCGAATTCTCCTCACTGGCTGGTCGGCTCGCCTCGTAATTTGTCCGGCTCTGCCGACTTAGACGAGCGGCGCTCGTTCATACGATACTTTCCCAACGGCCTTCCCCAAACCGGACTCTTCCTTCCATCATGCGGAACACGTGATGGCCAATGGAAGGTTCCGATCCATACGGCTCCCTCCTAGGTAATTCTTCCCTTTCGCTAACTCCTCTCTTCTCCCTCTCCTACCCCCACTTGTTCCGTCTCCCGTCCGACCCGTCGCTCGCCCAGCCCCACAGCTCGAGCTGAGTAACGCATCTCCCAACTTAAAGCGGCCAGGTGCATTGACTTGTCGACAGTCCCCTGCTCACCAGCACTCGGGGCATTCTGACATCGTGATTCGGCTTCCCGGTTCCTTCCATCACGCATTCCTCGTTCAGCAGGTACGTGCTGCCTTCCTCCTCTTCCCACAGACCGAATCAATAAAAAACGAATAAATCTTCCGCTAGAACCCAGAAAGATAAATTGGTATTTCAAAACTTATACTGCGCAATCCTCTCCCCGTACTAACTCTGATCCTACTAACTCTGATCCTACTCCACTAATCCTACAACTGACTATGCCGCTGAAATCGCCCGGTTAAAAAAAACGTCAAAATCGATCCCTCCCTCGTCTGAATCGGGTCAGAAACGAGGGAGATAGACATTTTCTTACTCTCCCCCTTTTCCAGTCCCAACTACTTCGCGCACCTCGTTTTCTACTAACAACTAATCTACTTACTTTTCACTAAAACTAACATCACTGTCGAGCTCGCCCGGCCAAGAAAAAACTAAAACTAGCTTCTCAAATCGCGAAAAACAGTCAAAGATCGAGCGAGTTTTTGCAACTTCCCTCTCCCCCGACATAGCTCCCGCACAGTAGTTTTCTCGACTACCTCCCTCTATACTGTTTTCCTCGCCGTTCTGACCTCACCAATAGGCTCGCAACACTCC